AAGGAGGGGGCTTTGTAGAAAACGAAGCGTTTGAGAGAGGCGGGGCATAGAGGACCTACAATAATGTACAGTATTTGAAAAATAATGTGTTTTTTGAACATTAAAGCATGTCATCATATTCTGTTACACCAAATACACAAAATAATGATCTTTAAAAAAGCATCATATGACCCCTTTAAAGTGTAGTTTGACATAAAAATAATAGTACTGAGGTATGATTACATAGGATCACAACATCAAACGCCTTGCAGCAGTGACAGCTTTAACCAGACGCTCCATTTGCTGAGCACATGCTTTACGTGCTCATGCTCAAACAGACATTACGTAGCGCTATGCAACACCATCTGGCTCAGGACACAGGAGGCGATTTGAGGATCTGCTGCACACTTTAAGTCTTTCTGTGTAACACATTCTTTACTAAAACCTTCTTCCAAGAAGGTAGACACACACCAGAATCCAGGTAGAAACACATCAAAAGCTACAGTTACAGCTTTGATTATCTTCAGGGCTTGTGCATGTGTTTAAAGGGATAGTTTAACTAAAAGCATAAAAGTCAGTGAGTTGAAGTGAATCAGTCCAATTCATAAACCAATCATTCAAACGGATTTTGTGAACCACTAATTCATTGACAAGATTCAGAAGACTTGGAATATAGCGCACAAGTCATAAGACAACCTTTATATGGAGGCTTGTTTCCAACACGAGATAAAAAAGAAAAAGAAAAAGAAGGAAATAGTGAATGCAAGATAAATCTTGCAATTCTGAGAAGAAAAATTAGAATTATGAGATATACACTCACAACTGTGAGAAAAATTCAGAACTGTGAGATAAAAAGGTCGCAATTACCTTTTTGATAATGAGCACTAGGGAAGGATGGGAGTAGTTCATGAGGTTCAACTTAATGCACTTTGAAAGAGATGGACACTAGAGCTGCCAAGAGAAGGACATTCATCAAAAGGCTCCATGATTCAAGCTTCCTGACAGGAAAGCGGAAGCTACTGATTAGCTTTTCCATTAAGCTTGATCAATTCTGGAACAGCACGTATATCCGTCTTTCTGCAGCACATCTGAACAGTTTCAGGGGAACATGTTAATTTTGAAGCCATTGAACCAGACGCTCCATTAACATACTTAAAAAGATACTTGATAAATCATAGCATGCGAAGGACAATGAAAACAGGGTCAGGCCGATATATAGCTAAAAACTGTTAATATTTTTAAGTCGTTTGACAATATTTCAGTGTGTGTGTGTGTTCACTACTCACTGCTGTGTGTGTGCACTTGGATGGGTTAAATGCAGAGCACAAATTCCGGGTATGGGACACCATACTTGGCCACACGTCATGTCAATTCACTTCACTTCACTAAAACATTGTAATCTATGAAAATTCCTACACAGGAATACTGGCCAAACCAATGGAATTATCTTTTGGTCAACCAATGGCAGATGTGAGCAGCATTCAGGAAACCTGTCTGAAAAAAAATGCACTGTTCTCAAGAACAAATGTTTAATGTACAACTATGACGGGGAGAACGTTGGAGTCTAAAGAGATTTCATTGTGGGCGGGGCTACCCAGTGCAATGCTGCAGAAATAGAAAGGACAAAATCTCACCAGTACAAGGAAGAATGTTACCGCTTATCATGCCGCACCTGCTTAGGACATGGTGTAAAGCTACTGATGCCAATGTGCACTGGCACAAAAAAGCCTATGCATTTTTTGGAATCATAAAAAAGGGACTGAGGTACAATTTACCGAAGCAGTGATGCAGATGACCAAACAGCAGTGTTTTTGCGCTGGCAAGTTGGCAGTCCACTCACCTGTAAAAAGGAGGAGGGTCACCTTGAGCCTCACAGCTGAAAACCACCTCCCTGTTCTTCTCCATGGAGTCTACTGGAAACACAATGCTGCCTGGCTGCTTTGTGAACACGGGGCTCTGCAGCGTGTTGCCTACAGACAGAGAGAGAGAGAAGGAGAGAAAGAGCGATCAGCACGCTCCACTTACAGACATCCAACCTGCTTGCAAAACAAGCTATTAGCTGGTGGCTCTGAGCAGGCCAGAACTGGTAAGGCATTAGTACTAAAATAAAATTAGAATTAAAATAATGAAAAATAATAAATTATATAATTATTTTATTTTAGTAATTTAGTAATTAGAATTTTAATTCTAATCATTTTATTTTAGTATTTTAGTAATTTTTTTATTAGTATTTAAATGCTTCTTCCACTGTGTGAAAATCATCAGATACAAAAATATTATTTAAAATTTAAATATTGACAAGTTTAATGAAGTTAGTTTTACAAAAATGCACTAAGAATATGCACACAAGCAATATGAGTAAAACTGAATTACAATGTAAATTCATAATTCTGGTAAAAGAGAATATCAAATAAATTGTATTAAACACAATCTAGTGATCATCTTTGATCAGATACAAAGCAGCAAGGTTGCTATTTTCAAAAATAGTGCCTGGTAAATTGGCTTGTGCGTGTTTTTCCCACGTCAAAATGAATTTAAGTAATATTATAAAGCGACAAAACTAACAGATTATAGTATGAAAGCTGATGGGTGAAGTTAAGATTAAACCATAATAATGCTACTGTTACAGTTGCGATGATTTTTGTTGGAAAAATTTCTCTTTTCTATGAACTGTTGCTTTACTGTATTTACAGTCTGGTGTCAGTTCATGCAGTTACATATAGGTTTCTCCACTGAAAAAGAGCACGAAGCAGATGTCACTTGGTGTACATAAAAACACATCTGAGGCAAAACTGTCTCCACCTACTATTACATTTGTGCTTTATATAAATTTTAGTTGTTCTTGGTTAGTGCATGTTTGCTTGCTCTGTGCAAAGAAAATTAATTAAATACTGCAGTTCACAGCAGCATTCAGGAAACCTGTCTGAAAACACTCACTATGTTTAAGAAAAAGGTTTAATGTACAGCTATGACGGGCAGAACATTGGTCCAATGAGATTTCATTGTGGGTGGGGCTACCCAGTGGAATGCTGCAAAAACAGAAAGGACAAAAACTCTCACCGGGACAATGAAGAACTTTACCGCTTATCACGTCGCACCTGCTTAGGACATGGTGTAAAGCTACTGATGCCAATGTGCACTGGCACAAAAAAGCCTATGCATTTTTTGGAATCATAAAAAAGGGACTGAGGTACAATTTACCGAAGCAGTGATGCAGATGACCAAACAGCAGTGTTTTTGCGCTGGCAAGTTGGCAGTCCACTCACCTGTAAAAAGGAGGAGGGTCACCTTGAGCCTCACAGCTGAAAACCACCTCCCTGTTCTTCTCCATGGAGTCTACTGGAAACACAATGCTGCCTGGCTGCTTTGTGAACACGGGGCTCTGCAGCGTGTTGCCTACAGACAGAGAGAGAGAGAAGGAGAGAAAGAGCGATCAGCACGCTCCACTTACCGACATCCAACCTGCTTGCAAAACAAGCTATTAGCTGGTGGCTCTGAGCAGGCCAGAACTGGTAAGGCATTAGAGAGTCAAACCACAAGCAGACAAAACATATCAATTAATTCAACTAACACCACGGCAACTGTAATGAAACCGCCGTTGATTGATATAGAACAACGGCTTGAGGACACACGTTCATCACTTTCTATCACCCCTGTGGTCTGTTTTTAACCTTCGCTACAGCAGCGCAGTTGTAACGGGAAACGCTCGGGCAATTAGACGGGTGTTAAACGCCTCTGTTGATTTGAGGCTCACCGTGTGAAGTGACACACTGAGATTGCTCACGCAACCTACACAAAAGACACAATTAGTTGGTTTTTGAAACATGGGACCAAACAGGATTAGTGTGAAAATCAAGAATTTTTTTTGGATCAATCTGCTAAACATAATTTACATATTAATTTACATTTGAATGCTTCTTCCACTGTTTCTGTTCTCACTCAATATGCGTTAATACATCAGATTACACAAAAATATTAGCTTTATATAAATTTTAGTTGTTCTTGGTTAGTGCATGTTTGCTTGCTCTGTGCAAAGAAAATTAATTAAATACTGCAGTTCACCTCACTGGGTCTCTGCCCAACTGATCTAGCAAATTTTGCAAAAGCAAAGGTAAAAACCTTTGAAGGGGAAGTAGAATTAAAACTAATTTAGTCTGAAGCAGCCATATAAAGCTCTAAAGGTTATTGGCCACTAAACACATCTGAGGCAAAACTGTCTCCACCTACTATTACATTTGTGCTTTATATAAATTTTAGTTGTTCTTGGTTAGTGCATGTTTGCTTGCTCTGTGCAAAGAAAATTAATTAAATACTGCAGTTCACCTCACTGGGTCTCTGCCCAACAGATCTAGCAAATTTTGCAAAAGCAAAGGTAAAAACAGGAGAAGTAGAATTAAAACTAATTTAGTCTGAAGCAGCCATAAAAAGCTCTAAAGGTTATTGGCCACTCTAACAAGCAGCAGGAGTGAGCATTATCTCCCCAAACCGGAGAACATCCACACATATTTCAGCATTAAAATAACAGAAAAATGCTTTTTAGCGGCAGAGGGTGTCAGCACATCATTGGTCAGCACATCAAATAAATACGAGCAGCTTAAAAAAAATATTCAAAACATTATTTAAACAAGCAATAAAATGGGGTAAAAGCTTTGGGTTCTTTTCTACGAAATCCATTTAATTCCATTTACTGAAAAACGCTTTCTGGTTTGAGAGCTTGTATTGCTTGCAGGAGACAAAGAGAGAGATAAACTTTAAGCTACTTTAAAGGAGCAAAATGTTGGATAATCTTTTTCCTGTGTTTTTTTCTAAAAAATATTTCTTCTTAGGCAGCTTGGTTGCGTAATGTTTTTGCCATAAGCCATGTAAATGTGCTTTGTACCTCAGAACCCCCCCCCAAAGTTGATATATTACAAATATATTTTTACATTTCTTCTGGATATGCTATGCAAAAATGAAAGAGCAAATTTGTTCTGTGAAACACATCAGTTTCACAAAACTATGTTCCAAAGTTGATTTAAAAAATAGGGTATCAGCTCACTCCATATGAAAAGCTGAAAAACAATTCTGATATGAAAATAAAATAAAATAAAAATTACAACAATACAACTTAAAATCCATACAACAGGCTATTCTTTCCAACATTTCTATCAAATACCTTTCTAAACATAACAGGTTTCCGTTTATTTTGTGTTATGCATTGTCACTGAATATTGATTTATTTCCTCTTAAATTGTAACGTTACATTCAACATTACAATATTAAAAAGATACCCAGCTCTCATGTTCGGTTTCATCTCAAAATTGCATGTCAGTCTTTACTCACCATCCGTTCTGCAAGAACTAATGCGTCTTTCAGGGGTAAGTGGACACTTATATCACCGGTAAAGGGCGAACTCGCTACTAAGTGCCTTATTTCGCAACCTTCATTTTCACTTTGTTGGACTGGGTGTATATGTGTGAGCAAGTTTGAACAGTTGTCTACACATTAACACAGTAGAATTTCATCCACAGTGCATAAAACTAGAGCAAGGAGAGTGTGTGTGTGGATCATTACCACCTGTACAGCTGCTCTCTAGGTCGCGGGTGCTTTAATTGGGCTTGTTTTGCTTCCCATCACGCAGACAGATACTTCATCGCAGCTCTAATGATCTCCACTAATTCTGCCTGTGACATGACAATGACAGCCCCTTATTTCAGTGTCAGAGACACCGCGGTGCATTCCCTCTGTATGTGGCGATAAACACTGCTCCACAAACATCATTTGGATTTACAAAACCTGTTTGCCAAAATATGAGTAGGATTATAGGATATAAAATTCAACCTGAAATCTAAATTCATTCTTTATTCTTGATCTTAATGTGGACAATTAAAGAACTGTTGTGTTGATGGGGACCCAGGTTCAGCTCCACTTTTTCTGTCAGATCTCAACTATGATATAAATAAAAAAGGACAAAAAGCCACTAAAATAATATGAAATATTATAAAAACTAATAAAATTATTACAAATGTATATTATGAATATATACACTACCATTCAAAAGTTCGATTTTTGAAAGAAGTCTCTTATGCTCAACAAGGCAGCATTTATTTTATAAAAAATACAGTAAAATTTAAAATTTAAAAGACCTGCCTTCTATTTTAATATATGTAAAAAATTTAATTTATCACTGTGATGCCAAAGCTGAATATTCAGCAGTCATTACTCCAGTCTTCAGTGTCACATGATCCTTCAAAAATCATTCTAATATGCTGATTTGCTGCCCAAGAAACATTTCTTGTTACTATTAATGTTTTACTGATCAAGATGTTTGTCGAAACCGTGATACACATTTTTTTTTTTCTGGAGTTGTCATTTAATAATAAAAAAAGAAAAATTAGCATTTATTTGAAATGAAATATTTTTGTAATACAAATTTCTTTACTGTCACTTTTGATAAATTTAATGCATCCTTGCAAAAAAAAAAAAATTATATAAAAATTAGACACATACTATACACATTTCTTCGTGGTAAGGGTTCCGATAGAAGCTGACCTATCGAGCCACTCAAACCACCAGAGTTATAAAGGAACCACAGACACAATGTTTACAGTCCAGGTATTGTTTGGGCAAAACCAATACCTGGGATAAAAGAAAGTATTTATCAAAAACACTTTTCAATCCATAAGAGATTTCTTCAGCCAGTATGTATACAACTCCAGAGGGAGAGCTCTAAAAATATTCTGTATGTTTGACATTGGAGTGTTATATTGTCATATGCTACTGTTGATGTTGGATGCAGAGGGGCCAATCACCTGTACAGACACAAACGGAATATATCCAGAGGACATATGACACAAGGCATGAGACATATTTCACAAGCCTTGCATCATGTCTTGCTCCATGACAACGTACAGCAATGAATAACAACACCACTAGGACTGACAAGACTTTTCTATGAGAACTTGCAAGCCATCTGAGGTTAACACGGGAAAGAAAAAACAAAGTTGACGTTTTAATTAAAACTAAGATCTTTTAAGTCAAATTAAATGATGGCACCAGCACAATTAGTCAAGAACAGGTGCGTGCATCCTTTGGGATGAAGAGTCGGTTCAAAAATGCAAGAGTGCACCTCCTGTTCTTTAACCAGCATGTGTTGCGATCAACCGCATATCCCAGTCAGTCAATTAACAACGCATGCTCATTAAAAGATCCCGGCAGTGTCAAGAAAGACAAATGAAACACGACAGGGATTAAACTTTAGTCTCACTCACATTTTTCCTCATCAAATTACGTTAGCTCCTCAAAAACATCTCGGCTTGCTCTGCCAAACATGTTATGATACCTCAAACGAGTGTTAGGAGGAAGTCAGAGAGAGCGGGAGACGGTAGGAACGGGGCCGGTTTGCAATTTCCATGAATAAAACCTTTATCGATATATGCATATGCAGGAGAAAATGTCGAGCAAGCGCAACCAACAACAAAATGAAGCAGGTGCCAAAAAGAGAAACAAAAAAAACGAGAATGGTTGGAAAGAAAACAGAGCCAGTGGTGAATCGCTGACATCACCAATTAGCAAGGGCTTGCCTGCGCAGCCATCTAGGGATGCGTGCGTCTTCAAGCAGCCATGAGAAGAATAATTGCGTCCCCAGAGATGGAGCAGGTGAGTCCACCTGGAGCGAAACAAGGGCTTCTGTTACTCAGAAACAGTCTTGACTTTCATCAACAAGAAGTCAGCTCCCCGCTATTACTGTCATCAATGAACTGCAATGAAATGAAATGAAAGCTAATGAAAGCTTTAATGCAGTCACTTGCAAGGAAGCCAAGCGGCCCGGTATTAAGACGTCATCCAGCGAGAGATTAGTTTTCACAAAGTCAGGAGGTACTTGAAATATCACAGGCGCTTGAGTGTCTCACTAAAAATTGATTACTTGGGGGTTCTGGTCTCCTTCAAAGACCAGATGGAGAGACTGAGGCTGCAGAAATGCAGACGTGGACGAGGATCGGGACAGCGCTGTATCACAGCCGCAGCTGTACTCCGCTAGATGCTCTTTTTGAGGAGTCCACAGGGTTGTGGTAATAGGGCACTGCCACTGTTGGCCTGGCAACGGGACACAGGGTGGGATAGACCAGATGCTGTTGTCCACAGAAAGGTTATTGCATTATTGAACAACCAAGGGTGCAAAAAGCAGTTGAAAAAAAATAAATAAATAAATAAAATGGCAATAACATGACAAAAGGTTGTACGTTTTTCTTCTCATTTTCTCTCATCGCATTTGGAGGTTTACAGTGATTTAAGATAAAAAACAAAATAAAAAGTAGGGCCCTTTAATGGGAAACAGACGAAAACGCAAAATCTATTCATAAAAATTTCATTTACAGTATAACGCAGTATGTCAGGGCAAAATTTTTAAGAATTCA